TTTTTTTTTTTTTTTACATATATATATATATTATATAAATATCTTGGCATTTGTGTTGATATTAGAATAAAAATTAGATGAATTTGTATTTATGATGGGTATCGCGTGCCAGAGACTCCATGTTATTATTAACTTGTTAATATTTTTCAATCGTACAAAATTAATTTTGGATTCTCTCAATTGCTGATATCTTAAGCATCGTATTTCATATTTATTCGCACAGCCCCCCTCCCCCTTGTACCCCTAAGTAGATCATTCGAAAAGTTCTTAACCATAATTCATCAGCTTGTTCGAAAAGTAATTTAATCGTATTATTCTCTATTTTCATTTTGAATATTTAAAATTAAATGCATTAGTGTGAAATGTAGAATTTTCAGTACAGGTGCAAAATGCAATGAATTAAATTACTTTCCGAAGCAAATCCAATTGACATTTATATAAATATTATAAATATTTAGCTTATTTAATGTTCCGGCTACATAACTCAGCCCCCTCCCCCACTTTGCGAAAGAAAAATGTTGGACAACCCCCTTAACCTACCCCACCTTTAAAAAAAAACACCCCACTTATCTTTCTCCTTCTTTTTCTTCTTCTGTTTTGCTTGTAAAAGTTTTTACGTAAATGACCGAGTGTGTGTGCGTGTGCGGGTGCGTGTTAAAAAAGCTTTTGCGGTTGCGTTTGGTTTTATTCCCGAGTTCGTTAACACCTTGAAAACATGGTTGTTCAGGCATGCTAACCCATCTCAAGCGCAGTATTCCGGACCTACGTCAGCACAAGATTCATCTGCAGCCTCTAACGAGTCATGATTACCTCGCCAAACAGAGTAAGTTTTTTATTGCAAGTAGAAAATCCCACTTTTAATGCTGAAGAGATCATTATTGGGTTCGGTAAGCCCACGCATCGTTATGTGTTTATGATTCCCGTGCCAACGGTTACAATTAATTTTACCATTTACAAAATATTTTTTTATTTAATTAATTGACAATTTAAATAAATAAATTTTTATAATATGCAATTTGACGATATCATTCATTGTTATACAAATTAAAAATTGAATTTAAATCAAACTTTTATTTTATCACACATTTTTGTTGAATGGTAAATATAATTTTGACCTGTAGTATATATTATTAGAAGAAGAAAGAAAGAGAGAGAGAGAGAGAGAGAGAGAGAGAGAGAGAGAGATTGACAAACAGATTAGAAAAATGAATTATTATGGAATCCAGCAGACTGGTTTTGGAAGACATCATTACAAAAGTATACGAAAATGATATATATATATGGGATTTGATTAAATTTTCATCGACTTGATCAAACCAATCATAGTCATTATAGAAAGCTTTGTTGTTTTAGAGAGTGTGTTTTGTAAATTATGTTAAACAAAAAAAAATGTCATTGTATATATATTTATATATACATATGTATATGTTACCGTCAAAACCGGAAATCAGTTATTGCTAGTAATGCCGAGGCATTACTATGAATGCAAAAAGCCTTCAGACGAAGTCGGAAATTGAAAAATTCTTCCAGTTTTTCCTAGGGTCGAACATAATACTTTAATATTCTATAGAATATCAAATTACTATTTAAACAACGTTGAAAAGAATACATTCTCAAGCACAGACACACACAGCCATACGCAACCCCTCCTTCCAAAAACTTTCCAAAGAAATATCAGAGATTGCAATGCTGTAAATTGTGCATCTTTGCAATTTCTTTGAAAAGTTTTGGTAAATATTTTTTATACTAAAAGTGAATAGATTTTAATGAAACTTGTATTAAATTAAAGTACACTCTTTTGTCTACACGTAGAATACCATATCGAGTTATAAATTTAGCATATAAAGTTCAAAAAATGTCAGAGATTGCAATACTGTAATTTGTGCATCTTTACAATTTCTTTGAAAAGTGTTTGTAAATATTTTTTATATTAAAAGTGTATAGATTTTAATAAAACTTATATTAAATTAAAGTACACTCTTTTGTCTACACGTAGAATACCATATCGAGTTATAAATTTAGCATATAAAGTTCAAAAAATGTCAGAGATTGCAATACTGTAAATTGTGCATCTTTACAATTTCTTTGAAAAGTTTTTGTAAATTTTTTTTATATTAAAAGTGTATAGATTTTAATAAAACTTATATTAAATTAAAGTACACTCTATTGTCTACGCGTAGAATACCATATCGAGTTATAAATCAATCAGAAAAAGTTCATAAATATATCAACTTGTGTTGTGTTCGATTCCTAGTAATAACTCTGTAAAAAGTCTTTTTTCCGACTTCGTTGGAACGCACTTTGCGTTGATAACAATGCCGAGGAATTACTAGCAATGACTGATTTTCAGCTTCGACTGTAACATATATATATATATATATAGACGTTATTCATTCGAATGATTACAAAAGTGTAAAAAAGAAAAAAAAAAAAGAAAAAACATATTCACATTTATTATATTTATTATATATATTTGACATAAACAAAAATATTTTATTCTGAATCAGTGACAACGCCGTTGACAAAACCAGCGCGCAGAAGTTCGGCCACTGGTGAAAGTTGCCTAAGTCAAAACGTCATTCATCCAACTTCGACGACATCCAGTCATTATACAACACCTTCCCCACCACAGCATCCACATTCTCACGGTAAATCTTACAATTAATTAATAAAAAAAAAAATCTTAAACCTTTTGCACCCCTGTTTATCGAGTGTTACTCAGTCATCAGTTTTTTTTCTCTCAAAAAAGATTTCGTAATTTTATAAAAATTACAAAATACAATAATAATGTAAATAAAACGGATATTTCATTGAAAATTTGTTTCTTTCATTATATATATATATATTTAATAATTGCCATATATTTTCTTTAGTTACATGTAAATTTCAAATAAAATATTTAAAAAGTATTAATAGTTACTGTTAATAAAATTAAAATAAAATTCAAAGTGCGAAGGTTTAATATATAAAAAAGTGAACCAATAATTCGTGCGTTTTTTAAATTAACATTATCACATGCATATAAAATCACTTTATTGACCTTCAAAAAAAAAAAATTACTATCTATTCGAAACAACACAATAAACGTACAAACCTTATGATTTCACTCTGATATATTATTATAATCGTTAAAATAAATCAAACAGACGTTTGTTTGTTTGTTTGATTTTCGAAGATTATTCTTGTTTTATTTCTTTTTTAGGTGATTTTCAAAGTGGTCCAGGACGACCGATAGAAGAAATAAATGCTAGGATAGATCAATTGACGAGACAAGTAACATCATTGGAAAGTTCTGTTACCGGAGACATTAGATTGATATTAACATTGTTACAACAAACGCTTAATTCGTCGAGGGAAAGTTCTAGCATAGAAATGATGCCTGGTACTGCACCTGCAGGTTCGGCAAGACAAACCGGTAGGCCACCGGCACTTGTTCAAAGATCTGCAAGTGAACCCCAACCACCAACAACTCCTGCTATTTCTAATAACGGAAATGGAAAGATTCAACCTAGCACGTCGCATGGGTTGTTTAGGTAAAAAATACGATGATTATTATTTGATATATAATATATAATTGAAAGAAAACGAAAAAAAGAAAAAAAAATAAATGATTTTTCGCGACCGATCTTATAAACAATATTATTATTATTATTATTATTGTTTTTGGTTTATTATAACATCTTATTTTTGTGTCTCTGTACCCCTTGCGTTTATTTTTACTATTAATAATTGTTTTTTTCCCCCTTTTTTATAGAAAATAGAAATAAAAAAAAGAAAATGAAAGGATTTTGATAGACGAGTACTCACTTATCATAGGTTTTGGTTATTTTTTATTTTTTTTTTTTTGGTTCTTCTTTTCTACGATGAACGTAACATTTATGATATAATTAATTAGATCACACCATATATATATATAAATATATATATATATATATTTTTCACAGTAGTAGTCTTCTTCACTATGATTCTTTTTACCTCCCCAGGAAGTTTAATCGTAATATATTTTTTATTCTTGAAAAGCTTTCTTTCGAAATCCCTGGATCAGTTGCATTTGATTTCGGCGTCTTTTATTTTGGATAAATTGGACAAGTTCCGAAGGTGACCATAATCATAATCTTCTTTGAACAATCCCCTTCAGAGCAGTGTTGCGCAAGTCGATTGAAAGAATTTATTTATAAATGATCGAGGATAATTTTATTATTATTATTATTATCCATCCAAATATTTATCTTTTTTATATAATAATATATACAATTAATATTAATGATTATTATTATACTTCCCGTAACGTTGATTTATTTCACGTTCATTTCAATTTCAATCACGTTGATTATTCGACATATATAATGATTAATCAAGTGAACAACAACAACAACAACAACAAAAATAGAAAGAAAGAAAGAAAGAAAGAAAGAAAGAAAGAATGAAAAGACATTGTGTTTCCTTTTTATCCCTTTATTTCTAAATCATAAATTTAATTATTATATATTAGCGAGAGAATAAAAACTTATGTGTTTTTATAATCGTTATTCTTTCAATCTAGATTTCCAACTAGACATTAGAACGGCTAGTTTTATTTTACGTTACGTTTATTTCCCCTTTTTTTTTCTTCTTCTTCTTCTTTTTCTATTCCATAACTTTTGCATCATTTTCAGATTAATTTTTCATTTTCTTTTTTTTTTTTAATCTCTCGCCACGCTCACATCATTTACATTTTATCAACATTATATTTAATTAAAAACAAATTATATTTGTGAGAGAATATCTTTTTGTGTAATACGAAAAGGTATCTCTTATTTTTTCTTCACGTAATTGAATTGAGTAGTTCAAATACCGCTTGTTTAAAAAGAAAAAAAGAAATACGATCACGTTTCTCGTATTAAAAAAAAAAAAAAAGCAACCATCTCGCTTTGTTATTTTTTTTTTTTTTTTTTTTTTTTTATTTGTTTTGTTCTTAAATCAAACAAAAATTTCACACATGCAACAACAAAAAAAACACACACATATTCCGCAGTTCTAGCGTTTCACGAAGGATTTCGACATTTTGGATTTGGAGAAACAAGCAACGTATCTTAAAAACTGCCGATGGTGTAGGAGACTTGCGACACGGAAAACTTGTGTGGGTATCATCATCACCGGGATCAATAATTTCCTTTCATTTGTTGTATATAAATTCTGAGATCCGGGTGCTTTATTATTATTATTATTATTATTATTATTATTGTTATGTTCCTATAAATTTTATTCTTCTTTTTTTGATTATTTTTTCTATTTCTTTTATATATTTTTATATTCGATGTACTACTCTTCAATTTTTTCTTTCGGGGATACATTTTTTTTTTTTGCAAATTCAAACGAAAATAAAAAAAAAAATTCAATTTGTTCATTCGATTTCTCGATAATTAACACGTTGTAATAATGTTACAATTGTATTTGTACGAATTAAAAATAATTTATCCGTCGTAAAAACGTTCGAACGCGCGTAATCATTTGCCTTTTGTTTTTTTTTTTTTTCGTTTTCTCGAACATCAAAAATCTTCGAATGACAAATCTTAAGCTCGACAATGAACATTTTAATCGTCAACGTTAATTCATTTTTCAATAATAACGATGATAGATTTGTGCTTGTATACTTAAAAAATATATTTTTTAATCACATAGAAAAAGAAAAGAAAAGAAAAATTTCTATAATGAAAAATCATTTTTTTTTTATAAAGAAAGTTTCTCATTGGTTGTGTTTGAACGTTTAGTCGAGCTTAAGATTTTCCTATGAAACGTCGATTCAATTTTATTTTTCATATCAACATTTTTTTTAATTACGTTTCTCAAAAATTCCATTGCTTTCAAACAAAGAAGGTTCCATCAATTGCTATAATAAAATGAAATACGATCATACATGGGTCATTGATTGCACATCTATTTTTTATTCGCCATCACGGAAAATTTTCATTTTCGAAATTTCTTCACCGATACAAAAAAAAAGAACCCAAATCAAGAAAGAAAAAAATATTTAAAAAATTGGAAGAAAAAGTTGACTGGAATAACACGCGACACCCTTTGGTTTTTTTTATGATTATTATTGAAATTCATACGATTATTTATTTATTTATTTATCATCCTAATCTTTCGACCCCCCCCCTCCAACATTCCGTTGTTTCTAGCACGTATATGAATAATTACGTGTTTATTGTGAACAATGTACACGCATACATTAACAAAGATGTTTCGTAATACGTGAAACCAATTATTACGTTTCAAATATTAGGAGACACCTTGTATATTAATGTACATTTACGATATATATATATGTGTGTGTGTGTACGCATTCACAATATTCACTGGAGAACGTGAAAACTAAAAAATGACGGAATATTTGATTTATTTATTAGTCAAATAAAATATCTAGCTTGTATTATTATCTTTTAGAATGTAAAACGTTAATTATTTAGTAAATCTTATTTTATAAGTAGTTAAGAAATAGTAGTTTATTTGCGAAAACGTTAATTTAACGTTTGGGATGCTGCATTGAAGTATTATTATTATTATTATTATTATTACAATTCGCAGAGCAATAATAATGTAGAATTGAATTAGATTGATTCGTAATAGTTTTAGCACTTATAATATGCAAACAAACAAACAAACAAGCAAGCAAGTTTTTATAGTTTCCGAGCATTTTATTTCTTAACCACGAATTAGAATTTTTATCTCGTATCGTAGTAATATTTATCATTTATCAAACGCACACACGTGTAAATAACATATCAATCAAGTAATGCAAATAATAATATTAGGATAAAATAATAAAAAATAAGAAGTAGCCGATATAAATGATTAATTAATTGATTTTGTATTGTATTGTATTGTATTGCATCGATCCGATCGATTAATTATTTATTCATTAATTTAAATTTATTTTCAACGAATTTTGATAAAAAGAATAAGGAAAACAACCATGTGGTCTAACGGGACACTGCTCTGGAAACAAACAAAAAATTCTTTAGACGATTGTTTTTGTTCTTTTTAGCGGCCTTTAACCCTAATCCCATTGTACATAATTCACCACGTGCTTTTTTATAATCCGAGTATTTAATTATTATTTTATTAATATACAATATTATAAATTATATATACACACACACACACACATATATATATAATACATTTTTTTTTTTTTATTAAAGCGGTCTCGAAAATGATTTCGATTACTGGATCCATCCAAAATTTGAATAAAAATTGATCGGTGGGTGGGTTGATGGGTGGATTGGTGGGTGGTGTTTTTGTAGAAAAAAAAAAAGAAAAAAGAAATAACTGTTGAAAATTATTTTCACAGTAGACCACCAACAAGGGAACCAACGTCTACGTCATCAGGTACATCGAGACTTACTATGACTTCTGATACGTCGGCCTTGGCAACGGCCCTTCAGGCAGCCTTGAATGGAAGGACAGCACCAACCAGATCACAGAGTCAACCGATTGACTTGGCTGTACCTACGACCACCCAACAAACTCATCAACCACACGCTTGGCATAGTCAGCCTGCGGCATTCAGAAGAGGTGAATTTAGAAGCGGGTATGTATCTTTTATTGTTTTCATCCTTTTTCTTTTTTTTTTATATATATATATATATATTCTTAATACATCGTTGATCCACACCCCCACCTTAATTATTTGAAATTATCAAATATATTACAATACTATTGTAAATTGTAAATTACATAATGAATTGTGCATTTTTTTTCTGTTTATAAAACTTACTTTGGAAATATTAATTAGAAAAAAAAAAACAAAATCGCACGAACATTAGATTCAGTTTAATATTTAAATTGAATATTTCCAAATGTTATCTATCTATCTAAAAATTGGAATCATTAAAACAATTATTAATTATTCTTGTTAGATGAAAAATCTGACGATTCGTTTAAAAACTAATCCGAATATCGATCAATAATATATTAAGAAAGAAAAACAATTTAATTTATAATAATTGACCAATGAGCATATGTAATTAATTAATTATCTAACAAATAATTGACATAAACAATTACACAAACTTATTGGTCAATTTTAAATGAAATATTTGGAATAATATGAACGAATAAATGAACGATTATTTCGATATAAAAGTAGGTACAGTTCATTCAACAAAAGATCCGAACCTGAAGGAGAGGATCCATGGACTTGCGTGGTGTCGGTGCCAGAAACCAGAGGAACTTCGCAAAGACCACGTAGCGGGGATTCGCGTAAAGATTCATCATCCAATCATCGTTGTTTAAATGATCAACAAATACAACAACAACAACAACGTGGAACGGAAAATGGTGGTGGTGGTGGTGGTAGTTGTGCTGGTAGACATGGGACAACATTGACAGGAGGATTATCAACTACGACGACTACGACAACAACAGCAACGGGGGGGCTAGGGGGAGGAACAATACCGGGTGGTCAACAATTGATTACGAGTGGTGGTGCTGGTGGTGGACAAGATGGTGGTGGTGGTGGTGGTATTAATCAACGTCAAGAATCTTCTAGGCAAACCAGCGAAGACATGTCATGGGAATTTACGATAAACGAGGCACCAATAGCAAGACTTGAATCATTGGACGAGTTAGATCAAGATCATGGTAGTTAAGGGACAATTCAAATGGGATTTTTATCATCGTCATTCGGAATTAAAGAAGACCAAACGAATAATAAGATTTTATTTACGTGCTATTGGGGTGGGGACTTAAAATTTAAAAAAAAAGTTGGCTCAACTTTCCCCACCCGCAACAATAAAAATAAACAAAATGAATGGAAAGAAGGAAGGAAGGAAGAGAGAAATAATTGCTGTGAGTTCGCTTGCTAACTCGTTTCCGGGTTATTTTTTTTTTTAACTTTTCTTTGTCACCACCCCTCCCTCCTCCATACACCCCACCCAAGCCGGATTATGAATGATTACTGACAATGTCGAGGGCAGAAAAAAAGAAAGAAATATATATATATATAGTGTATAATTGATAATAGACAAATGACACGCTGCTGGTCTATTGGGTTTTCTCTCTTAGAAAAAATGATAATTAACTAATTCGACGGGCGCAAAAAGAAAAAACAGAGATGCTTAATTTTAACCCCCACCCACCCCCCTACGGCTCCTCTCCTCCTTGTTCTAAATAATCTCTATAATACAAATTATTATTAAAATAATCTTCTTTCTCTCTTAAGATCCTTACTTTTTTTTGTAGGGGGGGGAGGGTGATTAAATCCATACTCGACCATAGTAAAAGTATTTATCTAAAAAAAAAAAGCTTTCACACGTTTCAATGCCAAGAGACCCCCCTCCCTCCCTCCCCAGGACTCGGATATTAGTAATGCATATATATACATATATTATATTTATTAAAGTATGTTCAAAAGATAGAAAGATAGAGAGAGAGAGAAAGATAATGATTAAAATCATTTAGGATGAAAAACTGATCGACGAGCGCGTTTTATTCTTATCGAGGGGGAAAAAAAACACACACACACAAAAGAGTAGAAAAGCGAAAAGAAAAAAAAATGTGAAGGGGAAAGAAAAAAAGAAATGAGAACGGAAATAGAAAAACGATAACGAAATGGGATGATAATAAAACGGTAAACACGAACATTAATATTACGCAAAATAAAATAAAATAAAATAAAATAAAATAAAATAAAATAAAACAAATTACGTCCTTCTAGAACGAAGTACACGAAGGGAAACAAAGAAAGAACGAGAAAAAAAAACCAATTGTCAATAATTATACACACGTGAGCACCGTATTTTGCTTACTTTTAAAAAGATACAGCGAGTAAATAATAAATGAAAAAAAAAAGAAAGAAAAAAAAAAAGAAAAAAAAAAAAAAAGAATCACTTTAATAAATGCAGTTTAAAAAAAAAAAACAAAAAAGTCAGTATATTAAACGAGGACAAAACAAATGCAACATTGTTCGTTTTGTCCTATTGCATATTAGAAAATTGATAGACGAATTTTCGCATCGGGAAAATAATTAAAAATAAAAAAATGATACACGTTAAGTGAATATTTCTTTTTTTCTTTTTCTTTTTATTTTTATTTTTTTTCGAAGGATTTTTAAAAAGCGTATCCCCCCCCCCACCCCGATAAAATCAACCCAATATTTTCCCTACCCAACACAGCGAGAACACACACAAACCTTCGGAAAAGATTTGTTCTTGATTTTGTTGTTGTTTGTTTGTTATTTTTGTGTTTTTCGTTTTGGATTTTTGTTTTTTTATTTAATCAAAGCGACACAGCTGCCGAGACGGACACTAGAATCGGACCGGGCGAACACATTTTTTATTCGCTCACCTGCGGACGATTGTTTTTCCGTGTAGATTACACGTCACACGCGTATACGCTAACAAAAAAAAAATAAAACACGCTTGAAATACCGAAAAAAAGAAAACATTTCAAATAATAATAATAATAATAATATTAATAATAATTATAACAATAATTATAATAATAATTATAATAATAATTATAATAATAACAATAATAATAATAATAATAATAATAATAATAATAATGATAATGATAAAAACCAAAAAATGGTAAAAAGAAAAAAAAATTAAATATTAAACAAAAACGCCGAATATATAGAAATGAGAAAATAATTACGAAGAAGAAGAAGAAAAAGAAGAAAAAGAAGAAGAGAAAGAAAATTAGGATGGGAAAGAAAAACGTGTGCGAGGTTGAAGAAAAGAATGAAAGTAAACATATGTTAAATATATCGCGTAAAGAATAAGAGAAAAAAAAAGAGTCAAAAGATTGTAGAAGAAGAAGAAGGAGGAGGAGGAGGAGGAGGAGGAGGGTGGAAGAAAAGGAACAGAAGGGTTTGGGGAAACGAACGCAAGTATCGGACATAGTCTTTCAGTGAAAAAAAAATAAAAAAATAAAGTATAATGAAATAAAAAAAGTAAAAGCTCTCGTAGAAAACGAATTTATGAGAAAGAGAGAGAGAGAGAGAGAGAGAATAAAAAATTAAATTAATAAAAATAAAAATATGCGATAAATAAACGAATAAACACAAAAAGGATTATAATTAAATGAATTTAAAACAAAACAAAACAAAAAAGAAAAATAAGAGAAAAGAAAAAAAAAGTGGCAAAAAAAAGTAAAAGTAAATATGCGTAAAGTAAAAAAAAGAAAAAAAAAAAAACGACGACGACTGAGAGCACACCCCCCCTTCTTTTTGTAACGCTTACATAGGCGACCTTGAGGAAGCATGCGGCGCTTCGCAATATTAAGAAAAAAATTAAATTAGAGATATAAAAAAATAAAATAAAAACGTCGATGAGAAAAAAAATATAATATCAAGTAATATGTAATTAAATTTATTAGAGAGAGAGAGAGTGAGTAAGTGCATTGCAGAGTATTTGAATGAAAATCAAGAGGAGGGGTGAAGGGGAGGAATTAGAGGGTAGAAAAAAAAACAAACGAAAACGAAATCTTTCACAAGATGGTGGACATACTTGTCGGTTTTTAAATGGAACGAACGGGTATTGTTCTAACCTAACGAAATTCTTTTGAAAATGGTGATGAGGGGGAGGGAAAGAGGGGAAAAATAAAATGGCAAAGGGAAAGATAAGATGATAAAATTTGATATAAACGCAAGACAAAAAAAAACGATTATCGCTAATATTCTTAAACACACACATTATAATATAGTTGATAATTATTCTTATATTTATATATATCACGACGTTGCGTTATCTTCAAGTGAACGATAACGATAATAAATAATGAACGAAGACGATTATTATTATTATTATTATTATTATTATTATTATTATTATTATTATGATTATTATTATAAATTATTCCAATTATAGTTACGACTAATTTGTTTTTATTATCGCCGAATAAGAAAATGACGAAGAGGGAGGGAATTAAAAGAAAAATGGACGTATGTGCAATAGGGAGGAAGAAGAAAATTCTAATAATGATCATTGAAATTTTTTTCTTTTTTTTATGCGTATTACATATACATATGTATGTACTCTCCGTGCATGCAATTATTATCAATGAGAATAAAAGTTTTGGAATTATAAGGAAGGATAGATAACAAAATATCACATCAGTGATATTAAATCCGTGTGTGTATATATATATATAATATATACATATATGCGTGCTGATAATTACGTGACAAAATGATATTAAAAAATCAATAAAAATGGATATTAATATTTATTTTATGATTTATTTCATAATACACAGAAAAAAAAATAGTTTTATGTAATAAAGATAATAAATTGATCTCAAATATTCATATTGGTTCAATTTTTTGTTGAATTTAATTATCAGCACGTATGTATATATGTATGTATGTATGTATGTATATATGTATGTGTGTGTATATTCGCATTAAAAATAAAATAAAGATAAGAATGAGAGAGAGAGAGAGAGAGAGAGAGAGAGAGAGAGAGAGAGAGCGAGAGATTAAATATCGTTATACATATGTATATGTCCTATGTACGTGTTTTTTTAAATCGCAAAGTAAATAATATGTATAAAAAAAAAACAAATATCTCGCCAAGCTCTTATTACAATTTTATCATCTCTGCTGCCACACTTTTACAAATTTAAGCGTACCATGTATATAATAACTTTATACATATATATATATATACACACATACACACATGTATATATGTATATAATTTAGGTTGTTGATTTTGTTCTTCCTTTCTTTTATTATTATTATTATTATTATCTTTTCCTTTTTTCTCTCGTCCTTCTCTCTCTTGCGATACTTTAAAATACTTGAAAACAAAAATTATTCTTTTCACTTGCACCGTTCACGCATACCATAACCCCATGCTCGTATCGAGGATGGGGAATAACGATAATAATGATTTATAATAATTTAAGATGCATCTATTATCTAGATGATCTTTTATGAAAATAGAAAATGAAAAGTAATTGATAAGAAATCAATTAGAGAGGACAAGTTTTTCTTTTTTTTTTTGGGAGGAGGAGGAGGAGGAGGGGGGAAGGCGACGAGAATGTATAAGAAGTTATGAAAAATAATTTAAAGAAAAAATGAAGATGAAGATGAAGATGAAGAAGAACGCCGTCCCATTCGTTCTTTGCTCGTTGTCAGTCATTTTCGACCAAATAATTCTTACAAAATGTTAATCACGCAAAAAAAAAAAAAACCGAGATTATTATTCGATACGAAACAAACGATGTCACGGCAGACACGTAATTGTTACTTTGTAACGTGGATTGAACAAATATGAGAAAAAAACTAACAATTAGTTAAAAAATGACGAAGAATAAAATGAAGATGAAGATGAAGATGAAAATGAAGATGAAGGTGAAGATGAAGATGAAGATGAATAAGAGGAAAGGCAAGCCAACACTGCAGGCACTTTATCAAGTAAATAAAAAAAAAGAAAAAAAAATACGAACAAAGCAGCTTTTAATTAAATATGAAGATAGCGAATCCTTAATTATTCTAACGTAGTAGTATACGCAGCACACGCGGATTTTCGCACTTAGATATATACGGCGAAAGAATCTTTTTAAATGAAAGAAAGAAAAAGAGAGAGAGAGAGATGGGTAAAGGGAGAGGGGATGAAATATAATCGTAGAAAAAATAAAACCAAAAACAAAAAAATAATAATAAAAATCGAGTTACGATTAAAAGAAGTGTGTCCTGCAAATGAAGGAAGAAAAATACGAGAAAGAGAGAGAGAGAGAGAGAGAGAGAGAGAGAGAGAGAGAGTCAGTTCCTTGGAAACAGATAAAGGGAAAGAGAAAAAAAAGAAAAAGAAAGAAGAAGAAAAAAAAAAAGGGAAATATTTGTTATCTCCTCGCGTTTTTTCCTATTAAAAATTAAATTTGTCTCTGCAATACGTTTAACCTAAAAACTATTTATAGCTTTCGAATCTTAACCCTTTATCCTTCTCCATATTTCTGATTACGTAATTTACTATTATGCTTTTTGAAAGTACACGCGGATGAATGGATGGATGGGGTTTTTTTTTTTTTTTATGTTGTTGTTGTTCTTGTTGTTGTTGTCGAAAGTGATTATGAGAAATATTATTGTCAAATGTGAAAAGATCGTTAAAAAAAGAAATAGTATCGGAAAGTATGGATTGATTGCGAGAATTGCGATTATTATTTTGAATAATATGCTGAATTAGTATTATGGATTGTTAATAAAAATTTCAAAGTGAGAGAGAGAGAGAGAGAAAATGTGTGTGTGTGTGTGTGTGTGTGAGAGAGAGAGAGAGAGAGAGAAACAACGTTCGTACGCACTTTTTCGTCCGTTGCAAATAATAGAAAAGTAAGATGAAGAAGAAGAAGATGATGAATAAAGTTTTGAATTATTTTTTTCTTTTTCTTACTGTTACTTTTTCTCTCTTATTTTTGTTTGATTTTGTTTTAGTTTTATTTTGTTTGTTTTGTGTCTAATCTAGTATAACAAGTACGATGCAACAACCATCACATATATATTATCTCGTTAATATTTTTATATAAAACCCAGTTATTTTTGTAGACATTTTTATTTTTTAGGAAAACTAACGAAACGAAACTCCAAAAAAAAAAAACATAATAATAACGATTAAATGACAGTTAGACAAAGTTTTGTGGGTAAGAGGAAAGAAAAGAAAAGTAACAACAATTTTATGGTTTTTTTTTTTTTTTTTCTTTTTACCAACGCGAAATTTCAATTGAAATTTCAATATTCTATACAAATATTTGTCGAATTATCTTTCTTAATATCGTGCAGTGCATTTAAGGTTTTACCTTTTTTTTTCTTAAAAAAGAAAAAATCATTAACATTTAATCCTAAAATACAATTGGACGATATGCAATGAATCGAACGAAAAATATGCTCGTATTTGATAAAAGTGTATGAAATTAGGCGGTGAAAATTTATAATATATTATTACAACGATGCTTGATTAAAAAAAGATTTAAAAAAAGATTTAAAAAAGAAAAAAAAAGAATACCATACGAGACCGATGAATATAATAATTTTTCTCAGCTCGGTAATAGCATTTATTTATTGAAAAACGCGCTGCTGCTATTTTTAAGGTATTATCGTTTTTTCGCGAACATATTTTTATATTTAATATATATATATATAAAAATTATATAATAATCGATACAAAAAATGCGAATTCCTGCTAAGTTTATATATATATATATATATATATGTACATACATATATATTACCGCGCGAGTCATTTGTAATTAAAAAAAAAAAAAAAAAGAGAGAAAAAAAAAATAATCAACACTTCTGGTCCAATGATTATTACACGTAAAAAAAAAAAACACGTATAAAAAGAAAGCAAGAAATGAAAAAAAAAAGAAGGAAAAAGAAAAAACTAATCGTCGCGAAGGATACATAGAACGTTTTTTAATCACGATATTTATTCCGGCGTTATTTTTTATTTTCAAACGGAATATTAATATTACTTTTGATTATAAAAAGACAATACCATATTCGTTTCATATATACGTATAGGTTAGTATTAAAAAATATTACAAATATTGCAAATATTGAAACATTAAGCACACACGTGACAAAGCACAGTATACTTTGAAGTTAATACACACATTTAGTATATATATATATATAATATTAATATATTAATTTAATATACTCACGCAAATTTTTTAACGTTTACCTTATGTTCTTATTGTTTCCATTCTTTTTTTTTTTTTTTATGAAAATTAATGAAAAATTTTGTTATTTTATTCGTGTCGTTTACAACGATTTCATATTCATCACTTATAGAAAAATTACAAAATAGTACTACTATATAATATATACGTATACAATATATTTTACTTTTATTTTCTTTATTAATCTTTTCTATGATTTTATTTTAAATGAATGAAAGAACGAACGTAAGGATTAAATTGAAGATATATAAAAAAGTAGAAAGGACTATCGTTCTTTTTAATGAAATAAATTAAAAAACGATGCGATTCGTTTTCTTTTTTTTATTTATTAAAACAAACGAACGCTTACCTCTCTCTCTCTCTCTCTCTCTCTCTCTCTCTCTCTCGAGTTCTCTCTCTCTCTCTCTTCCTGTTTCTCTTTCTTCCTCTCTCTCTCTCTCTCTCTCTCTCTTTTTCTTAATCTTCAGATTCGAAACTTTTTTTTTCAAACGTCGAATGAGAAAAAAGTGAAATAAATCGAGACCAGTTTTATCACACGTTGTTATTTAAAAAAAAAAAAAAAGGACACTTTACACAAACGCAAGTTACGATTACGAATAGTTAAAATTTAAAAGAAAAGAAAAGAAGAAAGAAAGAAAGAAAGAAAAAAACAAACAAATGCAAATTTGAGAATGGTCATCCGAGACGCGCTTTCGTCTAATCGAATTCTAAAACCATTTTTTAAATTATCCGCGAAAAAAAAAAGAAAAACAACAAAATAAAACATTAAAGTTAAACGGAAGTGTTGATAAAAAACACACATAGGAATCCTAATCGCGTATAGAATAAATTTCTTCGCATCTCTTTACCCTTATTAATTATTATTATTATTAAAAATTACAAATTATTGCAATTTCTACGCAGAATTGTCCTGTATATACGTATACATAAATATATATATATACACGCAACACACACAATCATCTAAACACAAGTATAGATTTATATGTGTATGTGTATATAAGGTGATGCCTTTTACATGCACATTTTTTCTTTTACTTAAATGAATATAAATTTGAAATTATGTATTTTATGAAGAAACGCCTAACTTATTAATTACTTTTACGAGTAAAATATCATTTTTTCCATGAAAATATTTTTAATCAACTTTTAATATATTACTTTGTAAAAATACGAATTTATATTTTTGTTTATAAACCAAAATTTGGAAAGATCATCAAATTTTTAATATAAGTATGTTAACTATCATTAATATACAAAAATTATTATTATTTCTATTAACAATTAATATTCCAAAAAGATTTCTATAAATAATTTTATGAATTGTTCGATATTAAATATTGTTGATATTAAAATTTATACAACAAAATTTCCAGATTTTTTTTTTTAGTCAAAATGTACAAAGTTAAAAAGTTTCACCCTGTATGCACGATACAATAATTGAATCGTAAAATTTAAGGGGACGAACGCATAATCCCAATTGTAACAACACCTAACATAAACGATAATGAAAAAAAAAAAAAAAAAAAAAAAAAAAAAACAAGCAAATGAATGAAGAAAAGCAATTGTGTAATAATGAAAGCTTAATGATAGTAAGAGAGTGTTGGTGCTTTCACGATAAAGCCGTGT